ACAAGGACAACGGCAACCACAACAACAGTAGCAACAACAACAACAGCAGCAGCACCAACACCACCAACAACTATAGCAACACCAGCAACAGCAGCAACAACAACAACAACACAAACGCCAACAGCAAGAGCATGAACATAAATTATGAACAACGATAAGAACAAGAACAGAAGAACAAGCACAACATCAAAATAAACACCACGAGCACCACCAAGAACAACAACTGAATGCCTCTTCCTGCTAATGGTCAGATTCGCCCAGGCATCTCCGCAGATGCACAGTTCTCCGCACCGAGGCCTCCCAGTCTTAGCTTGAGCTGTGAGAGGGCGGCGGATTTCCGTTGAAGGCGTGCGCTGATCGTGGAGAACACCACCGAAGGAACTGGGCCGGTGGGGTGCGGGCCCAGGACAGAAGCCGAGGCTGATGCATCAGCACTGTCGACGATCCGGTCAGAAGATGGACTTCCAGGGGCCTTACCGAGTGTTATAGGTGTCGCATCTATGACGACCTCTGCTACTCAGTTTTGGGTGAGTCATCGAGATGTCGTCGGGGGGCGAGGGCTGTGTATGGTTTCTGATGTGCCTGTAATGATGCTTGGGGCGGTTCTCGAGTCAGTGCAGATGCATGGGTATAATCCCGGATGATGGCGCTTTCATTGCCAATTTTCCCACTGTCTTGGCTTTGACCTACACCATAACACATTGGGCTTGAAGCCCTCCGATTTATGTGAAGCTTCTCCGATACATGTTTTCGGCGTCTCCCGCTGGAGGCCCACGGGAAACGAAAGCAATCTGCAGACGATGCGCTGCAATGTCATTGAGGAGGTGGGCAACCTTCATCTGCGAGTCTCTTCATGTTCCGGGTAGTCGTAATGCTTTCCTTGCTTCATCGCCAAAGGAGGGCCAGAACAGCTTGAAGAGAGCGCTCGGAGCCCAGCAGAGCACATGTGTGGCATGCACCGACTACCGCATGTACTTAGGTTTGGGAAGATGGTCGCAGACATGGTTGGGCAAATTGAGGCAGGAGAGTTTCCAGCATGCTTCCTGAGACATAGCAGCCGTGCAGGCTCGCGCCGAGGCTTCCGAAGCTGGGGAAGTCGGAAACCTGGCACCGTGTGGTCAGGCGTGGCCTGCAAAGTGCCGTTCCTCTCATCATGACGCCACCGGCACAATACCTTCTGTCAGGGAGACCTTCGAAGCGCTTGGTGCCCAGCAAAGCATCAGAAATCTCTGGAAATCCATGAGATGGGCATGATCACACAACCTAATTATGGTTCGGGGTGGTTCAGCATGAGCAAGGACCTGGAAAGTACAGGACTCGATACAGTGTGTGATCCCTTGGTTGGTAAGCGGTGTGATTTGTCAGCATCCCAAGCATGTAACGTAGTCGCTGCTGGTTTTCTGCAACTGTCAAAGCTTATTGGCTTATTATTGCCAAAGCTAGATTGCGAGTCTTGGACACATCGATATCGCTCTCAGGTCCTGGCGAGGGACACCGCCCTAGTCTGCGGTGGGTCAGGCAAAAGCCTGGGCCGGCGGGCCTTGGCGTGCGCCGCAGGGCCTCTTTCGCTTCTTCTTCCCGAGACCGAGACGGTTCAAGACAGGTACAGGCTGCAGGGTGATTCAACCTATGTTGACCCAACAGCCTCGAGCTCGGCTTAAAAGGGAGGTTGTGTCGGATGCAGCTACGCGCGATTCTCAGGCCGCCTCCATTGCATGGGCCGCGGTCTGTGCCGCGCGGAGCACGCTTCCGCAGGAGGCCACCCTATGAGTGGACGTGAGAGCTTGTTCTTGAAGAACAACGCCGGCACGCCTTGGGCCTTCAGGTGAACTGGTTGACGGGGTCTGCTCCGAGCTCAAGCAGCACAGCGCCCTGGCAGGCAGCTTTGGTTCTCGCCTCGGCTTTCGTTCTGGCAGCTTTACCTGACCACGTTCAGCGGTTCGCTGTTGATATGCGGTGCAAGGTTTCTTGGGAACGATTGGAGACGATCCTGACTTTAGGCCAGGAACGGTAGAGCTGAGAACTATACATGCGCAGCACGGTTGTGGTGTCAAAGGACACGGCAGCCGCCAGTCGTCTGCCAGAACCTCACCGTTTCGGCGTGTGCTGAAGCGCACATTTGCCATGCATCCTTTCGTCGAACTCCCTCTTTTAATCTGTTTCAGGCTACGCTCGGCAGAGCCTTGATTGACCTCGGCCTCATTTGCATCTTGGCGACCCTCTGTAGTTTGAAGAAAGTGTTCGGGGACGGCCGTGAGCAAGCTGGGTTCAAGGATATTGACCGGGAAGTTTTGGCAGCAGGGAAAATCCGAATGTGTTAATCAGCCCCTTGCCTCAAGGTCCGGTGCCGGGGCTGGACAAGACTTGGCGAGATTGCGACAAAATGGTTCTGAATTCGGTGCCTTGGTTGAGAGAGGTCACCGGCCGCTTACTGTGTGCCGAGCGGGCCGAGCGTGAAGGTCCTGGTTCCTGACTTTGCTCCCCGGCTAAAGCCCGGCCAGTGCCTCAGGTTGCTGAGAGCTTGGAGGTCTTAGGACGCTGAGGGCAGCTAACACATAGTGAGGTCGATCTGTGGCAGAGCTCCTGCGACCAGCTCATGAGAGAGGCAAAGCACAGCAAGCCTACGTGCGGGTTCTGTGGACGGATGTGAAGCATGGCGTTCCAAAGCAGTCGCCACCTTCACTTCGAACTGCGCTGCGGGACCTCCTGGCAAACGGTGCTTTGGGCTACGATGCCAAGAGTGCTTCTCATGTGAAGAGTTTGGTGCTGCACTACTTCGCTTTGCTGGACTGCGAGAGCGACGCCGGTGCGCGTGCTGATGCGTCGGATTTGGAGCCTGGCTTCATCCTGGCCTTTGACTTTGAGACCAATGAGGGAAAGAAGCCTCCGCAGGACTCGCAGAACACCCCAGATACAGAGCCGGACTCCTGTGGGCTCTTGGACCTTATTGCAGCGCATCCCGGACAGGGTCTCACCTTTGTGCTGGTGCGCACCTCCAGCGACCCGACGCAGCGATTCTGGGATATCCTGTGTAGTGGTCCGCACGCCTACTGGGCCTGGCACGCCCTCTTGCAAGCAGGTCACGGCCACAAGCCCACCTTCACAGGTTTCACGAAGCTAGGGGGCCAGGCAACGGGGGAAGTTCCGGTGCCTAGCTGCCTTCTCTCTGCTTCTGCCTCGTCTGTTCGTTCGGATCTTGACCTTAGCGATGTGAGCCCGGACGATTTGGCGGCAGTGGCCTGGTTGCTGTGTGGTCCGCAGGCCAAAGAGGCAAGGGATCGGCTTACCACGGCCATGGAAGCCCAATCAAGTTGGTCAAGCTGCTGCTCGGCTTTGTGCCGCGGGGGAGGACGGGTGCCGTCCTTCAACTTTACCGGCACTTTGGCATGCTGCGCTGAATTTGAGGCCTGCCTTCTTGCTAGAAATTGGCATGAGATGCCGTACCTCTTAAACGAGGCCCTAGCCTCGGGAGTGGAAGCCTGGGCCCTGTGCGTTACGGCTCTTGCACGACTTGCACGAGACACTGCTGCAGCGGCACTGCCCCTGCTGAATTCCAGTGAAGCAGTTGGGTCCCACGTCACTCTCCTCCCGGAGGGTCCACAGCTGCTCCGCAACGAGGATCTTTCCTCACCGCTCCTCACAGGCACGGACGTCACCTCGGCCGTCCAGGTTTGGCTTGCTGTCTGCAGGCCGTGTGCTCTGTGGATAATGGCAGGAGCTGCCAAAAAGTATTGCCCACCTGTGCATCCAAGCGTTCTCGGCCATGTACCTGGTGACATATGCTCGCAGGTTGTCAAGGCCTTGAGAGTGGCTGTGGGCACCTTCGTGTCAGATGTAGTGGTGTCAGATGTCTGGGATGCCCTCAAGCAGAAGAGCTCTTCTGGACGCTTACTGCTTCCGAGACCAGGGGGCGGCTGGCTCTGGATTGAACCGGAGAAGACGAATTGGTTCTCAGTTGAAGCTGAGTTGTAGGTCGGGATGTGCGCGAGCCAAAGTGCTCGCTGTTGGCCAGTTGCTTTCTGATTCTGCATTTGCAGTAAAATTCCAAGTTCCGAGGATCAGAGGTTTCCACAATACAGCTGCAGCTGGCCTGTAGCTCGCCGTAGTTCGATGCATGTTGGGTGAGCCTCCAGGCACCGATCCCCGGACGTGGGATCAGAATCGGTTCAGCCGAAGTGTTCAAGACGTGAAGCCGAAGAACCCTCGGACGAATGGGCCTCACTCAGTTTCACCCGTGCCATCCCGAGCACGCTCGCTAGACTGCCACGGCAGATGAAGGGCAGCCAAGCAAGAAAAGCAATCCCCAGGGCTTGTGCCAGATTCCAGATGTGATGATTGTGGATAGCTCTCTTGCGAACAGCTGCCCTGTGATTTTTTGGCGCCTACGCTTCATGGTCTCAGAGCAGGTAGGGAGCTTGGCAGAAAAAATATCGCGGCCAGCACGACCTATATGCAGCGTTGAAGCTCATTTCCTTCTGGCTACGAGGCACCTGAATCCACCGTGGCCTTGGGCTCTCGAGGGTCAACAGCACCCGCAAGCTGGTAGTAGCAGGGCGCACAGGCTCTGAGGAAGGCAAGTCGCCAGCCGCTAGTTTCAGAAGTTGCAAGTACTGAAGTGTGCAGGACCACGTGATGAGAATAGCAGGATGTCTACTTTTGGCGCGGCTCTTGGTTGCGGAGAGGAAGAGAGCCTGCCTCTCATCTCCGAATTCTGGAGGCTTTTGTGACGCTTGCAGCAGGGCACCGACCTTGGGCGAAGCCAGGCCTTGTCACATCTTGTCGGGCTTAGACTGTGATCTCTCAGGACAGACCTCGGCCAGCTGAACATTCTCGTGAATTTCCTGAATTACACGGCCTTCACCCCGCAGGACAGGTCGCGGACCGCCAGAAAGTCCAGCAAGTCCTAGCTTTGGAAGGACATGAACACCCTTCCTTCCACGCTGGGTGAAAGCATCACTAAGTCCTTGGGGCTCCGGTCGGGGTCTTACCTGAGCCCGTCTGAAGAGCCGAGCGATGCCCAGTGGAAAGCCCGAGACAGAAACAGACGTGGTAGGGATGACGCGATCAGCAACGCCGCGGGCAGAGTCGGAGTGGTCGACCTGAATCCAGGACTGGGCTTGCTGTGCTCCTGCAGTGTCCTGCAAATGCCAGCAGTAGAGAAGTGAGAATGCCTGGTGCCGCGGCCAGGCACCATGCGGAACGAGTGGATGCCGAGTCAATGGCCACTTGTGAAACCAGGTTGGGCAGAGGGCTTGTGTAGTCGGACATCAGTATGCATGAATTGCATGCTTTTGCTGTTGCCTGATGTCCTAGCAGAAGATGTTCTATGGACTGCTCGAGGCAAGGCCACGTTGGTTCACGGACAGCTTCACCTGCCAACTCCTAGCATGGCCACTCGTTGTATACGTGTGTAAGTGGCTTTGGCCGCTCAACTCGCCTGCTTCTCCCCAAGGCGTTCATTGCAGAATCCACTCTGGGCGGATCTCTGTTTGAGTCCGAAATCCGGAAGAGGGCTGCTTCTGCAAGTTTGTTGGCTTTGTCGGTTGCCACTGACTGCTGACTGCTCTTTCGGAGCTGACCTTTGCCAGGTAGAGGATGCCGTAGGCACGTGTTCGGAGAGAGCTGTGTGGCGCGAGACGGACTCGCAATTCCCGGCAGGGGCAAATTCCGAAGCCATTACAGGGCAGATTAGCGTCGGTGCTGCCTCCGTCAGCCCCTCGGGCTCTTGAGGGCAGACGCTGGCTCTTGGTTTAGAGCTGTCACGCAGGTTTACGAGGCAACGGTGACAACACCGGCTCCTTTACAGAGCTCGCTGCCCGGCAAGGCAGGACAATTCAATCGCCGGCCCGGAAGACAGTTGTCATCAGTTGTCCTTGGTCCATGCCAGGGGCAGCAGCTACTGTGGTACATTGGGCAGGAGCCTGAGTTGGAGCAAGGTTTGCCATGTCTGCGCCATGTCAGCCATGTGCAAGTGCTTGAGGCTGGGAATGCTCGTGCTCGTCGCCGTGGGCATCGTCTTATGTTGTGTCAGAAGTGACAGTCTCATTGAGTTTAGTTTAGACTCCTGCCCCCCTTTTGGGGTAGTCAAGCATTGCCATGGCCATGCACGACTTCCGAGGTTTGTGCATGAGCATGTCGACGCCAAAGAACGTGCTTGGTTACGACTCAGGATTTCTGCAGGCTCGATGTCATTCTCGAAGTTGGTGCCGTTTTGTTGCTGCGTGTTCGGGTCTCCGGAAGTGTAGTCTCCTAGTCCTAGGCATGCCGTTTGCACAGAGATGGGGCAAGGCGGTGCGACCGTCTGAGCTTTGTTGGAATCTTCGGTTGCAGGTTAATTCGTACGATGATGACGTTCCCATCTACGAAGATCCCATGAAACTGCCCCGCCCTGGGTAGCAGCTCCAGATGTGAGTGTGGAATGAAGCCTTTGTCGCCTCCAAGGTTTCGTGGCCAAGGGCACTAACCCGAGTCCCGAGCCAGCTTCTGTTTCACTCCTGTGCATATCTTTTGCAGCAGCATTGTTGTGACACAAAGAAGCCTCGTACTACTGCAACACACAACCACCAATCAGCTTCAGCAACAGCCCAGCAGGATGCCACTTCGTGCAGGCAACAAGTGCGAAAGGCACTCAAAGCACTGTCTCACAAGCTGGCATCCACATCGACAGATCCCTCCTCCAACAGCTTTAGCTTTGGAAAGGGGCTTCAGAAGCCAAGGAAGCCAAAGAGATGCTACCGCTCTGTGCAGTTTATCCTCTCCTCTATCCCTTTCCATGACACCATCAGGCACGTGCTTCACATTCTCGATGGAACAGACTTCAAACCTGGAAAGGGATAAATAGACATGAGGAGGTTCCTGCTTGTCGCGATTCACGATGTTGATCATCTTTCCATCAAGATTCAGGCTTCTTGGTGTGTTCCTGAGGCCCCCTTCATCTCCATCCAAAGTGTCCACGGTTCTCCTACATGGACAGCATGCGTCTCGGACGGACCATGTAGCGGCCCATGTTTTGTTTGGTGCTCCTGCACATGTCCGGTCTGTCTCAGTGTGTCTGGATAACAGCTTGTATGCTGAAATTTGCAACCTTTCGCAGCATATTCTGTCTCGGAAGGCAACTAATTCTTGCGCAGCTTGAGCCTGCGAACATCACCTTGCTTGCCATGGCATGCTCTTATCTGAAGCGCAGTATACGAAGCCATACCGTAGCTTTCCGTATAACACATGAAGGCATAGCCTCTGCCATAGTTGCAATGCTGCTATGCTGCTTCCAATGTTACTAGAATAGTTCCATGTAGAGCCACATGCACGACAAACTGGCACGCCGGCTGGTTTTGAGTGCCTGTATCTTGCGGTTTGTACATGCGATGACCTGGACTGACTTGCATAATCTGGTTTCGACTTAAGTGCAGCAGAGACGTCAACGTTGCCAGGATGGGTGGCGCGTGCCACCACTGCTGCGAGAAGCCAGAGGTGATGGTGCCCAGAGCGTGGTTTCGTGTTTAATGTTCTGCCACTGAAGCATCAATGAATCAATGAATCCGCCGAATCGGCCATCTTCTCAAGATCTTCAGAGCTAGGGTCTTTCTTTGTTCTTATCACTATGCTTGCCACCACACAGAACCGACTTACTGATGTCCATAGCGAAGTCCAGTCGGACTGCCAGCTGTTACCTGCGGCTCTGACGTACGTGTTCCTGTGGCTTGCCATGTGTTCGTCCAAAGTGTGAATGTGAACCGAAGCACTGTACCCCGGAAGTGGAGTCATTCCAAAAAGCCTTACGTGCTCGCATGTCCAGCGGAGTCACGTGTTTGCACACTTTGGACGGCCCAGGCTGCGAATCCAGCACAGATTCCACACCAGCCAGTGCAAAAAGAGCGCAGGAACAGCCATCAGGCAAAGCATGCGTGCCGTGCGCTGTCTCTGGAGTCGTGCAGAAGCCGCTGAGCAGGCCGCGAGCGACTTTGCTGATGGTGATCCATCAGCTGACGCCTGAGCTGCTTCAGAATTCCTGACTGGAGAGACTGGCAGCGTCTTTGTCGAGCTAAGGCTTATTCGGGCGCACAATTGCAAAAACGAGCGAATTTACAGGCGCTGGGGTCCTTGTTCTGACACATCTGATGAACAGTGCGGAAGGTCAAAGATGGCGGCTTTGCTCTGGGGAACTTCGCTGCTACAAACACCGGCCGCATAGAGGCCGCGGCTTTCGAACGCTCCAATGATCGTCATGGCGTTTCCTCCATGCTGCATCTCTCGCGCACAAAGAGGATTTCTATGAGCTGGAGAAGCACAAGCTCGGCGAAGGAGGGTTCGGATCTGTGCGGCGGGGAAGGCCTCTCCCGGCTCGGGCATGGGCCACGGCTTCGAAGAAACCGGAGTTGTCAGGGACAAGCGGACGGGAAGAGTCTATGCGATCAAGTCGATCCGGAAGAAAGGGGCACGCCCGCCCAAGATTTGGGATTTTCAGCCTAGCCGCCACGGACGGGAAGTACAGAGTCCTGCAAACCATGTCGCCAGGTTGAGGAACCGCAGAAACTGAAAGAAGAGATCGACATCATGCGCCTGTTGGACAGGGGCGTGAAGCAGGGAAGAGGGGCTGCAGAGCGCCGTGATAGCATAGTGCCTGACTCAAGATGTCGCGGATCCTTGCAGGATCATCCCAACATAGTGCGATTCCAAGAAAGCTTCGAGGCAGGTCATCTTATACTCTTAAACTTAAACTATCTTAACCTTTCCAAGCACCGCGGCAAATCGTCTCCTCGGTCCCAGGATCACCGGCTTCTGCAGCTTGTGCTGGAGCTTTGTGAAGGAGGTCGACGGTTTTGCTAGATTCTTCAAGCAGCTGGAACGGAGGTGAAATCTGACAGACGCACTTCGACGCAGGAGAGCTCATAGACAGAGTCACCGCCCAGGGGTCCATCACGGAAAGGCAAGCTGCAGGTGGGGAGGAACAAGCCTCTTCACTGGCTGAGCGTACGAGAAGCCGGGATCGGCCCGGCCTCGAATAGGATGTGTGCGAGATATGCTCCGAGCCATCAACTACTTGCACATGCTCCGATCCCAGCGCTGAAGCGAAGACCCAGCTGTCACCATCCTTCGGGGCCGAGGAACAACATCATGCACCGCGCCCGGTCCTCGAACGCCGCGTAGCACAGCCTTCCAGCACTGTCTTGCCTGGCTGACCTGTGAGGATCTGAAGCCAGAGAATTTCCTCCTCGCCACCAAGGAGGAGGCATCCGGCTCGCGACCTCCGCGCTCTTTTCCCTTTTTCCTTCTGCCGACGAGATCGGCAAGTCATCGCTGAAGCTGATCGACTTCGGCCTGGCAAAGCGCGGGCTCAAGATGAGATGACTGCACCCCTGAGCCACCCCATTGTGTACACCATGCCATGAGTAGAGAAGGGGTTGCAAACACGGCGGTTAGGCGCTTCAAACCGGGTGAGCCGGCCCGCACCAAGGCGGGGCTGTTGCGGAGTAGCGCTAAGCCGCATGCACGAGATGCCCGCAGCGGTTCGCAAATCGAGGCGGGGACCCCGAACTACGTGGCACCGGAGGTGCATGGCTTCTGGGGGCGGGGGGGAGGGAAGGGTTACATTAGTTTCTACCCTGCAACCAGGTGCTCTCTGGACGCTATGACGAGAAGGTGGACGCCTAGGGCTCAGGGGATCATTTTCCTATTTTGCCATGCAGCCTGTGCTGTCGGAAATCGCATGTCAACAACCTGGCATCTCATGTGGTCGTGATGCTGAGACTTGGAGTATTGGAGTCATCGCCTTCCTCCTCCTCTCTGGCAAGCACCCCTTCACCGGGAAGACGGTTGAACAGGCTCCTTGTCAGGGTCTGAAAATGGAGGTCTGTGTTTCTTCTTGAGTGTTGCCGGTCAGGTGCTTCAGAAAGTGAAGAATGCATCCTTCGTCGGGGCCTCACATGGGTGTCTGTTGCTTCGTCTTCCGCAGTTACCTCACGTTTCGCTCAGATCACCGATGGAAAGCATTGGAAAGGAGTGTCGGCTGATGGCAAAGGCTTCGTGCAGGCACTCGCGTGTGGCGTACATATAGGACCTTTTTGCAGAATGAGATTGATCCAACATTGGTCTCTCTGCAAAAAAGAGAGCTGAGAGCACTGACGGACAGATCACACACTATAGCTTTGTGCTTTGTAGTGGTTCTCGTGTATGCCAAAGGTGGGTCCTGCTAGTCTTCTGGTCCTTCTGACATCCACCGGCAAACGAACCATTCAGATCTCCAATAATTAATGATACAATATGCTATGCTTGCCAGTGAAGTCTGAGTCCCATCCTGGAGCTTGGCTTTGCAGGGTCTGTAGGCCTTGGGAATTACAAGGATAAGACACGCTTGAGGGTGCCTGAGGGCATAGGGAACCATTGCCTGCACGGTCGCAGGCCTGTCTGCAGAAGGTTCCCATGGCCCGACCGTCCGCTGGGAGCTGTCTCAAGCATCGATGGCCGCTCGGCAAGACGGTCAGGCAGACCATGGCGGGTTGTCAAAACACAGAGTTAACAAATGGTGGAGTCGGGGAGCCAGGGCAGGCAGGTGGGTAGGTAGGTAGGCCGGTAGGTGTTTAATTCTTCTGTGTTTGCTTGTAGCAGTTCGTGTAACATCCTGATCGCATAGCAGAGAATGGTAAACAAGCCCGGGTACCAAACACATTCCGTAACCTGCGGTCAAGCTTGTGTCTAATGAAGCCAATGCTCATGTCGGAAACCTCACTCGCGTTGATGTTGTGGCCCCACGATCCTGCGAGCTTTGGGAGTGCAAGCGGTGTTTCGAGCTTCGTTTGCAACACGGTTATTTGTCTTCGAAGGAGCATCTGCCTCTTTTTCTTTCTCTCTCTCTCTCTCTGTTTCTCTCTCTCTCTCTCTCTCTTTCAGTCTCTCTTCCTTCCAGACGGCCGTGCCTTGTCCTTTCTGGTCTCGCACGCTTAGTCGAGTCCGTCCGGTGGTGCCTGCGCTGCTGAATCCGTCAGTCAGACGATGGCACCCCATCTTTCACATTTTTGCAGTTTCACTTCGCGCCTCAGCTGACAATCCAACCTCCAAGGATCGAACGCTTGGCGGAGAAGGACATGGATGGCCCGGTGATCGGCCTGCAGATCGAGGGCTTGGCTGCGTTCGGGCGCATGCACAAGCTGAAGAAGGCTCCGTCGACTTTGGCCGGACGACTTGTAAAGCCTGCCACGGGGTAAAGAGTCGGCAAACATGCGCAGAGCACCCAACTAGTCACTAGCCACGAGCTGAGCTCGCCGGCAGGCTGTGGTCACAGTCATCGCGGCACAGATGTCGGAAGAAAGGACACAGGGGTCGTGTGGAAGATTTGTCGAAGCATGGCCTTCCGATGCATGCATCCTTCAGTGTGCGACTGCTAGGATAGATGAATTGCGTCGGATGTTCATGACAATGGACAGAAATGTGCGCCACCCGGTGCTGCTTCACACCCTGCGCGGAGCAACCATCGGGATCATGCCTGGAAGCGTGCCAGGGAGACGGAACCTTGACGGTCGTAGAGGTCAAAGACGCCTTGGACAAGGCTAGTAGTCTCGATCCATGTCCAGGTTTTAATTGCGCCGCCTGCAGACGACGAAAGCAGGATTCAAGTCGATGGGCCTTGCATCCGTCTGTAGCTGATATTGCAACACATCTGGCCGCAATTATAGCCTTGACAGGCTGGCATCGCAATGCCCGGCAACATGGAGCAGCTGTTGGGCGAGGTCGGAGACGCAAGCCATTCCACAGCTTTCAGCAAAAATGTTTGCAAGTGAATGTGCCGTGAGGGCATGCAGGCATGTCTAGGCCTACGCTGCAAATTCAGGCTGACACAGACGGCTCGGGAGTCATCGACTACACCGAGTTTCTGGCAGCAACTCTGGACAAGAAGGTGTATGTCCAGGCCTGCACACTCAGTCGTGAAGGACAGGCATGAGTCTCGCTGATGCGAGGAAGATATCGTGTGGACAGCATTCAAGAAGTTCGACCTGGACAACAACGGAAGCATTGACATGAAAGAGTTGGCACAGGCCAGGCGATAGACCCTGGATTACCTTGGTGAGATGCTTCGCTAGAAAACCATCTAGTCCACCGTGTGCTTCCTACTTTCTGCCTCCCCTTATCTCGCTTGCCTTTCACCACCTGGCGAAACCCTCCGTCGGGGCGACGTGTCTTGAAATCCAGCAGTCAGGGATGTCGGTCCTTTTTGTGGCGTTGATGCTCAGACGATTCGTCTGAAGCTTCCTCAGAGGCCTCTCTCTCTGGCCTCTCTGACATAGGCATGTGTCGCTCGGCATAGGTCATCGGTGACGAGCAAGTGGTGGAAGCGATGAACCTCAAAGACAGCGCCAAAGATGCATTGTTGTGCAAGAGTGCATTGGTCAGTCGCATTCCTGTGCCGCATGACGAAGTCCTCCTCGACCACAAGGTGGAGATGTGGGCAGTTTGGTCCACATCTTCGAGCAGGTGGACAAGAATGGCGTACGGAACTCATGGGCGAGCAGGGCTAAGAGCAGTGTGCTGTTGCGATAATTGTTCATCATCAGCAGATCATCAGGACGGCAAGATCGACTTCGACGAGTTTTTCCAGATGATCCGTGGGGTGGAAAACAGCTGCCAGTCGCCTTCCGGCTCCTCCGCACCTAGCATCAAGCCGGGTGGCCGTGATTCCCCGACCCACAAGCAGAAGGAAGAGCAAAGGCTTAAGATGAGCAGTGCCCCTGGCATTTGTTGGCTTGGTCGGCTTGGTGGTTTGCGCAGAGTCTTGGCGAGCACGCGACCCGCGACAGGCTTGCTGGAAGACTTCGACGAGGACGATGGCGGCAAAGTGCAAAAGAAGGCACGGCATTCCCGAACAGGTTGCAAGGCACTGCAGGCCCCCATTCCAAGTGCTTGTCCTGTGTCGTGCGCAGGCCAGCTTGTCTGCCAAAATCCTGTACTGATGGGGGACAAAGCGCCCTCTCTCTCTGCTCCGGTCATGAGACTCCGCCCGTGGAGCAGATGCCAAGGCCTAGCTACAGAACGAGAATTTTTTCAGGTGACCGGAGGCCAGGAAGTCGCAGAACCCAACTGCGAATATGCCCTGTTTCACGCTCGGTGCGAACCGTGGCCGCGGAGAAAACACTTGTTTTGGCTGACCGCGGACTGTGTGTGCGCAGAAGGAGGCAAGGAAGGCTACAGTGCCTCCCTGGTTCTTGTGCCTCCTTGAGCTGGGGCATGTTGCAAGCCGGCATCGGGCATTGAACCCTTGGGCCTTGAACCGCAATCCTCGAAGAGCCAAACCAGCCATGGTAGAGATCATGATAGGTTGGTGACTTTTCCTTATGCTCATGCAATTGATTCCCCAACCTATTTTGGATGCTCGGAGTTTCAAGTGTTTGGGGATACATGTTGCTGCAGCATGCGCTATTGCAGAGAGCAGAGGGGTGCTGCTACGTCGGTGCATGCAGCATTGCCAGATTGCCACGGCCGGCTTAGCATTGATGCGGCGCCGTGGCGGCCAGGCCCTAGTGCCCCGGAGTTTGTCGTGCGAGAGCGCCGACTTGGCAACACCATCACTGGAGTCTTTCAGAAGCGAGATGATTGCAAGGTGAGTTCCCGGTGGGTACTTAGTTTAAACCATGTCTAGAGGGCACACATGACGGTCAATTGGCGCGGCGGCCAATGACTCACAGATCCCATGTTTGTGTGGTGATGTGTTGGGTTGCGCTTCCTAGGAAAGAGTTTGCATAAGAACACAGTGGGCCTCAACGAGCTCTGAATCCGTAGATTCTGCGCATCCGAAACTTAGGTGTTCAGGTGTTGAGGTGTCAGTGTCAGTGTTTCGTTTAGGTTTCGGGGCCTGCGATTCAATATTGCTTGTGGTTCCGGGCCGGCAGTGCACTTCGCACTTCACAATTATCTGTTATGCCGTGCCTTTGTCATATTGCGGCTTATGATTGCCAGCTTGGCTCAATTCCGCCGTTGTCAGCCAAATGCCAGTCCGACCCCTGCCTGGTTTCCGCTGGCTGTTCGCAGCCTTCGCTGTAACCTGTGGAGTTGCTTTTCGCCACGACCGTATCGGTGGCGCTGTCTCAAGCAACTGCGACCTACACGATGGATGTGAGTGTTGGCAGCAGAAGGATCCAAGTGCTTGCAATGGGGGGGGGAGGGGGCTTGTGCAGCCGGCGCAGGAAACCTCGCGTAGGTTCGATTGTTCCCTGAGACAGGTCTGCAGCTCGTGCACACTGTCAACGTGCGGCATCGATCATGTTAAAAGCGTTCGGCCTCTTCAGGGTGGAACCAATCGCTTGCGCCCGGATTTGGCAGCAGCCTATGGCTTAGAGGATTCTCTCGGTAGGCAATGGGCGCTGAAACTCGCGGACCAGGAGAACGGCTCCTACGACCGTTCCGTCCTGGCTTCCCAGCTAGCCCACACACTCAAAGTACCAACACCACGCGTGCTACAAGTATCCATGGCATCTTGCCCTGCAGTGTTTCAGCACAAGGACTTGCAAGACGTAGTGGCAGAATTCCAGAGCCGGAAGAGGCACTGGGCGTTGTTGCAGGACCGAAACCAAGACACACAGACCCTAAACCCAGTTCCTAGTCGCTTTTGGATTCTGAGCTGGAGCCATCCCTAAGACACACTGTTAGTGGAACTGCAACTTCCAGCGAAGAAACAAGCAGGCTTCCCGTGTTGAGCTGCTATCTTCTCTCAGGAGTTTGTGAGCGAGAACCAGGACCTCCCATGCGCTGCGAACGTTGAGCCGTTTTGGGTGCAGGTGGGTCAAATAGCCATGTTTGACTGGATTACAGGCCGCAACGATTTGTTCAATGACTTATTGCTGGGTGGAGAGGCAGCCCTGGCAGAAAACATGGACGTGAACAAGGACAATATCAAAACGACGCCCTCGCAAGCTGTAGAGATTGATTTAGGCTTCTCCGAGCCCTGCTGCTTGGAGGATTTCGTCGAGATTTTAAGCCAACTGGGTAAGGGGAGGGTGGCCTGGGTTCCCTCGCACATCCTGGTGCTGATGTGTGAGGGCAGGAACGGCGGCTTGGGCTCCCGCACCTGCTCCTCGGCCTTCGGAGACTACTCGGCCCTGAAGCCCAGAGGATGGCATCCGGAAATCTCCGAAATCCAGGTGGGCACGGCGCTCCGACTCTCAACTCTCCCACAGAATCCGCTAAGCCGCTAAGGCCGCTAAGGCTATTTATTCGAAGATGTTTTTGGCATGTCCTTTGCAGCATCTCCTCGTGCCTCGCCCTGCTCAGATCGAGCGCGGACTCGCCCAAGTCGCAACCGCGGCCCTGAACTTGACAGGCAAAGTGGAAAACATGCTGTTTCTTCTTAGCTTCTTGTAGCTTTTTAATTGCACAGACAAATGTCGACCATTTTGTGAACACACCTGCTGCCCAAACAGCCGACACCGAGTCCCAGACAGATGCAACTCGCTGTGCAAGGCAGTCAGGCCTGGTCCTACCCTGTGTCGGCAACCTTAACGCTCCTCCAAGAGAAGTGGTCGAAGAATGGCGCGCAAGCTGTGGTTGATCGGCTACGAACAGAGGCCTTTGATTCGGTGCAGTTGGCATTCTTTCGCGGCACAGTTGAAGCGCCCAAAGTTGCAGGGATTGCATAGGGGTATTTGCAGGAGGAAGCGGCGATTGAAGTTATCCCGACGGACCAAAAGTGCTGCAGTGTGGCGTGTCAATACAGGAGTCGTTTCTGGACGTGGCACCACTGTGGCTTGGAGGAAGCTGAAGTCGCCCACACACACACAGAAACACAATAGACAATTTAATTTGCAGGCACACTCGAAAATGTTGAGCTCTTTGTGTCTCGTAGGGTTCTCGCAGCTCCCGATCTCACGAAGACATTTCTGTCTTTCTCTGTCTTGCATGTAACGTGCAATGGGATTGCCGAAGGGTAGAGTGCTGAGTACGACCTGGCTAAGTTGCGCCCATATCGAGGGGTGCTTTGACGATCTGAACCTGACTCACCTGTGTTGGAATCCGTGCTCCCTGTCTGCTAGCACAGGACTTTCCATGCCCCTAATGGTTGCTGGTGTCACGAGGATCTCCGGCTCACTAGCACTTGGAGCTTGTCAGCTCGTGGAAGGTCTGGGGTGATGTTTGGGGCCCTGTCCAGCATCCCTAAGGTGGAGACAAAGCCATGAAGACAGTGATGATCGAAGATGCCTGTAACATACAACTCTCTGTGCATCGGCTGCAAAAGGCAAGCGGTAGGCCTGTTTGGCCTAGTCACACCTCCGTGTTTTGAACGCTAGTCTCTGGATCCTAGGCTATCTCCATGGTGCTGCACTGCTCTCCAGTCTGCGGTGGCGCCACGAAAGTCTGGGGTACCGTTAAGGAGAGCAAGGGTAGTTGTCTGGCTGGGTAAAGGGAATTCCCGGATGCAGGAAAAAGGCATCTGCGAACACTGCATCTGAACGTTGGGAGAGACTCTGCTTACTCCCAGATGTGCCAGGGGAGCATAAGCGGCATGTGCTCAGGGCTCTCATCGCTTCAAAAGCTTCATGCAAGTCTACTGTACAAGTGCCGTGCAGCAGGTGGCAGACGAGGCGCGGGTCGCCTGGGTGCCAGGCCACCCTCCTGGACGGGAGCCTGGATCGCCATGGGCAGGTTTGTGCTGGGGGTGCACCGTCAAGCCAGGCCGTTCCGACACGGGGACCGTGGACGTCCTGACTGGCCTGGAGGAATCAGCATGCATGGAGAACGAGAAAAGTTGGACTTTGCTTGTTCCATCCCTACCCCGCCTGCGCAAGTATGGCAAACTATGGTCAAGTAACATGCAGGGATGGGGGGGGGGGTGCCACTCAGGTGTGTGTGTGTGTGTGTGGCATGTCTTCGAAACAATCGGTACAGTTACAGCGCATGAACGTGCAAGCAGGCACCAAGGCACCAATGGTAGTGAGCAGGCACAGGCAAGCATGCTTCAAGGCCTGTGTACGGGCGAATGCTCGGAAGGGCAGCCTGGCGAGGCTTTCATTTCTATCTGCTTTAGCAGTGGGCCCGGACTACTGCAGGAACTGCCAAATGCCTTTGCCTCCTCCCCGCCCCGTGTGAAAGCGAGGCGCAGGGCCTGTGGGGGGGCTCGGGAGACTTGCTAACCCACATGCGTAGATCCTCCGACTATCGTGCCTGCGCAGTGTCCATCGATGCAGCTTGCCTGCCAGATGTGAGATTTCTCCGTGAAGTCCGACGCGTATGGCTCGTGTGCTCCTGTAGCTTTGTCAACATGCTGGCTATAGATGACGCGGAAATGTATTGGGGCTGGCCTTTTTTTGAGATGCTTCCTAATTGGGAAGAACCTCGTGCGCGGCAGCCCAGTCGGTTGACAATCCCATGAAAGCTGGGTTTGTTACTCATCTGCATCAGAGCCAGCCAAGGCCCTGACAGAGCCAGAAGTTCTTTGGTATGTGGAGCAGGTGCACAAGAAGGCTGGGCAAAAAAGCCGCCTCCGTGCATATGTGCATGCTTCGTCACATCGTGCTTTCTGCTGGCATGGCAACAAGCTATGGCGCAAGCGAAGCCGTACTCAGGAAGCTTCCTCTTTGTGCATCTGTGTTGGCGGTCTTGTGGAACTTCTGCTTATACCTCGTCTCTAGGTCTCTGGGCTTTGACGGGATTCGATCGCTTCTGGGGAAAGTGTCTTCAACAGCAGCTGCGGCTGCCCCCCGAGCGCTTACGGGGTCGAATCTTGTGACTTTCAAGTTTGAGGGTTTCGGTAGGTGAAGACACAAACCTAGCGAAACGCTCGGCAAGGTCAGATGTGCACTAGATCTTTCAAATATGATGCACTTCGCCACAGTCGCAGGTGTCCTAAGACTGAAGCTGCTTGACTTTCGCCGCACGTCTCCAGCCGACAGCTCGCAGGCCAGGTGGCAGAAGAAAACGGTGGTTGGTTTTGTGCGTGCCGGTGTCCTCAGCTTTCCTACTGAACCATGCTGTCCGTCGAAGCGCAAAGTATCCGGATCTCCAAGGACATGTGGGAAGCAGTGTCTTGCTGCTGCCCTTCAGCCCCATTTGCGGAAGAAGAACTTCGCGTTTGAGGGTGGGAAGCCTACAAAGACAGTCGATGACAGTCGTGGCCTTTCATTGTGTTCATCCGTTGGGCGAGCACCCTGCCCTCCACAGAGTCAGAAGGAGAGGAGAGGGGCTTGCTCTCCCTTACCCCTAGCCCTGGTGAAAAGAAAAGGAGAGGAGGGCAGCGTGCGACGGAGCGAGATACGGCAGGCTGCCGACAGCACAGTCCCGTACAGCATGAAGGCCTTTCCGTCTTGCCGGCCTCTTGCCGTCTTGTTGCCCGCGCATCTGTACATCTATACTTCTGCAGGACACGGAAGTGGGGCCAATGAGCAAGCTGCCGATCCCCGACGAGCTCTACGACAAGCACCGGCCAGAGGCTCGACGATCAGAGGACAACTCAAAATATGTTGGCAGGTAATAATAAGTATTTACATGTCAGGAAAGAGTTGCTGGCATGCCTGCTCCCAGAGAGGCATCGGCCTTGAACGCAAGGGCGCGGCAGAGTCGCAAGTCGCATGCCTGTTCCACTGCAGGACCGGCCTCTGTGCTTGTTGTGGGAATGGCAACGCCTGCAGCAAGAGGCCAGTCTGTGCAGGGATAGAATGTGGTCTGGCCAAGCTCGCGGGCGCCAAGTAAGACTCGGTTGTTTGAACAGAGATCGGCTTTTGACTTGCTTGGAGAATGCTCGGAATCTCGCATTTCACGGGCGCTTGGACCCCAGAGAGAGGAGCAGTCAGCACACACTCGATGTCGACACGTGCAAAATTCCGCATGACGCAAGTTTTGCAACTTGGGCTAAATATGCGTGCTCAAGGGGGCATTCTGGGATGGCAGGGCAAGACCAAACTTCGGTCTTGCCCTGTGTTTGGAGTTAGGCTTGCATGGCGACAGCTCCTGTATCCACGTCCAGATGCAGTTCGTGAGCAACACTGTCGTGGCAGTAACCTGATGGGAACATGTCGCATACGAGCTGGATGGATCCGGCGAGTGCTCCCACAACCCAGCTGGTTCTTGTGGCAGTGGTGTTGGTGTCACTCCTGTCATGTGTAACTCGGCACCAGCAACAACTTCGACGCTGGTTCAGTTGCAGAGGACTGCAACGAACCCAAGATGTGATACCCCCATATTGGCAGAATGCCGGCAGATCGCTGCTTGAAGCACTGGACCGTTCGAGTCCAGATTATTTCGATGACATCTACCCAGTTCCACTTCAGAATCGCAGCATTTTGCAAGGCTTCTTGAACGAAGCCAGTTCGAACACAGAGGTTCAGTTCAATTTGGTGCGGGCAGTTCGTGTGGAGCATTCCGGCTTGTGGTCTCGGTATCAGGACAAGGCTGCCGAAGTCGCTTCACAGCGAAAGGTGTTCAAGTTTCAGGGGACAGGGGCGCCTTCGACGAATTGTGCTCTGGCCCACGTCGAAAGTGACGGCTGGGAAGGAGGCTTCGTGCACGCCTTAGACGAGAGTATCTGTGAGGCTTACTTGTTCCATGGCACGGACCCACATTCTGCATTGAAGGCAGCTCGGTACAATTAGCATAGTTAGTTGCGCTCCTGAATCTGTAGTGCGGGACCTGTCATTATTAGCGGTCTCGCAGAGCATTCTGAACCCTTGCGTTGGGAACTGTCTCTGTTCGTTGTCTTTTGCTCCTTTGTTGTTTCTTCGCTCACTTCGCTTGGCAGATCGTGGAGAACGGTTTCGAAGTGAAGAAGAGCCGGGCCGGGAAGCGCTTCGGCTTTGGCGGCTACTTTTCGGAGGACCCGGCGGTGGCCGACCGCTACGCTGGGGAGGGGGAGGGTCTGTATCGGGCCTGCTATGCGCTGCTCTTGTGCCGCGTACTCCTCGGACGCCAGTATCGAACCACGAAATTTCGTGATGAGTCTGTCACGGAGGAGGCTTTCCGGCAACGCTTCGACTCCGTCCTGGCGGAGCCACATGGCCATTTGCACAGAGAGTTCGTCATCTTTGATGGCCACCAGGTCTACCCTGAGTATGCATTGGTCTACGAGCGCGTGTCGGCAGATTGCTGGATGTGCCCCAGCCCCGTCCGGCGCTACTGGGCCGACGAAGAAGCGGACACTGCCGAGATGGGCTCGTGGTCTTTACCGGCTTACTGGTTCCATGCTCGCGAGGAGTTGACTGGCGCTTTCCATGAAACGCATCCAGACCAGCAGATGAAAGCAGTGCTCGAGGACCTCATGAACAAGACCTGGCTGAGTGATCCAACTGTTGGCTCACGCCCAGGACATACGGGGAATCACGAGCACGCCACTGCCAAGACCGTCGGGCTGCGAGTTCTCAAAGTCATCCGTGTGGAAGATTCCGAGATGTGGCGTGACTACAAGGCAGCGCAGCGCAGGATACGGAGCCGCAGGGGGCCACCTTCGTGTCCACCGCTTCACGTGCACACTGTCGAGGCACTTGAAACATAAGTATTTTTGATCTGTTGCAAGTTCGAGCCACTGCGGAGCAAGCCTGTATTGATTGACTGTGTCCTGTGCCTTTGGCTCTGCATCCTTTCTCTCTGTCATACCTTATTCATAATATGATCCATACCTTATCAGCATCGTTTGTGGCTCTTCCGGGATCGTATACACTGGTGTGCTTCTTTGGATAACCAAGGTCAGGGCGTCCCATCAACTTGACAGCACCACAGTTTTGAGTGAACGGCACCATGCACCATGCTGCATCGTGCTGTCTTGGAGGCCTTGCCTGAGAGGGAACATCGACGGCTCCACGATGAAGTGAACGAGGTGCCCAGCTCGGTGCCAGAAGAAAGAGGCTCACTGCGCGCACGTTTGGAGCTGCGCTGAGGTGTATTTGTTCTACGGCAGCAGTCCGCAGCGTGTGATGTACCTGGCACACCACGGATTTCCACTGGACGGGACCGGACCCAGGCCCGACGAGGTCCTCTCTCCCGTCAGGGGACTTGAAGCCGCCGGTGCTGATGCGGCCGACGCGCTGCCGGCCGCTTTCAAGCTCTTTGGAGAGGGCGCCTGGGCGGCGTCAGCGAGCATTTTCTGCTTTCACGAAACTTGAAGCCTCAACCCTGGGCCTAACGGCCAGGAACTAAATTGCAAGGCCCGAGGCAGGGGGCAACCAGATCTCACTGTGCTTCTTGTACCCTCCAAGGTGCTTACCTCCACGAGGTGTCTTGGCTGCGATTGGCCGCCCAAGCAACCAAAGCAACGAGCCTCAGACCTGGCTAAGTTTGTGTCTTCAGAGCGCCGAGGATGCCTCCGAGGCCGACAAGCTTAGCAGCGACGACAAGGGTGGGTATTATCGCGGCTACTTTGCCATGCTGCTTTGCCGGGTGACCTTGGGCAACGTCCAGATGTTGCAGAGTCCTGAC